CCTTGTCCAAAGAAAGACACAAAGCTCGTACTGAAGAGTCTTTCTGATTTTGAGTAAATTACCATGGGCCTTCAAATATTGAATGCTCTTAACAGAAGAGTTAATTTCATGTAAAAGAAACAGAACCATCAACTATTGGTAATCTGTTCCGGTTTGGAACCTTTAAACTCATGAATTCAGTATCAATAATTTTAAAAATTTAGAGGACATTCAATCAGATTAATGTGGTTAACTGATGCATGAGGAAGTTATCGAAGAGAATATTGTTTGCTCAAACTTTATTTTTGTTATGTAAAAATATCCAAATGGGTATTTTCACCATAAACTGCACATTTTCCTTACTCAGAAATAAAGACCCATTTAGTTATCAACGCAACACCCAGTCTTTGTCACAGAAGATGTGTAATTCTGGATGGTAGTCAAATGTTACTCATAGACTTTATCTCTTTTTAAAATCTAGCACTGCCAAAAAAAGTGATCAGTAACAACTGGATGTTAGATAAATCTGTTATTGATTATCGTTCTCTTAGGTTCTAAGTGGAACGTAAGGCTTCAACAGCACATCTTCACTTTTTCCTATTCTTTGAGGTCCTCTTTATTTTACCCAACGATTGCCCATAGCCCGTCATCTCCTCTTCACACGATCTTCTCCATGTTAACCTCGGACCAGTGTCCACGTCGTCGTTTCCAAATTGGGTTCCATTCCAGCGATGGCCGTGCATGCGATGCTGTTCAACAGTTTTCTAAGCGTGTTTATCCTATGCAGTTCTACTTTCTTCAGCTTTTCTTTTGAGCATTAGGGTCTAGGTCGCTTCATTCCCAGAGTTTCTTGTTGTTAACTATTTTTGGCTAGCTATTTGATCTTCAATAGTTGGCTTTTGAGGATTAGATTTTCAGCATGTAATATTGGTAGCCCAAATTTAGCAAGCTGGCCACTGGTATCAGGTATGTGTTGGCCAGGGATCAAACCCCGAACCATGTGCATCGTCGGCGAGAGTCCTAAACGCTGTGCCACCGACGCACACTGAAAACCAGAGAGTACTGGACAGCCGTTTCATGCTAGTTTGGGAACCATCAGCAGTGGGCATTCACCGCTGGGGTTCGAACCCAGGACTTTCCAGTTGCTAGGCCATCGAGCTCTTATACAATTCGGCTACTGGGACTCGATTCATTGACCAGCCCATGAAGTCTAATTTTTATCAATTCGTGATTTTATACCGACCACCAATCAATGTCATTGGTGGGGCATCCATCCACTTGACTGGTTGGACCCCACTGGTCACGACTTCTCACAAAATCTCCAGGAAACTCCGTTCTGTAGCAGCCCTTGTAGCAACTGCCGATGATTCCCAAAAACTAGAATGGAACAGCTGTTCAGTATTCCCTGGTTTTCAATGATTCTCTAACTGATATCAATCCGTCATCAACTGGTCAAAACATATCTGATCTTCAATATAAAGCGAAGGTGGCAGCTACTGATAAAAGTCAGCAGCAGCCTGTTAGAAACGCTTTTCATGACTCATAATGAAGAACTTATCTAACATTAGTACTGAAAATCCGAATTTTCTTGTATATTGGGCAGATTGCAGAAGATTTCCAAACATATTTCAGGGTGGTGAAGGTGTATCTTCCCCGTTCCGATTCTGGCTGGCTTCAAAATCTCCTTTCGTGGTATCCGTCTGGGGTTGAAACCGTGCTACCTTGCCAGATAAGTGAAGTAAGTGATCTCCTTCAAGTGTCTCCCGCTGATAGTGACCGATGCTTCTCTATATTCCTTTGAAGTCTTTTCTTGGCCAGCTACTACTTGTTAGTTTTCGCTTATAAGTCTTCTAATTTGTGTGAGACTAGAAGTAAATCCTCCACGCACGAAATCCAGACCTTCTACAGTCTTCTTATAGGTCATTCTAGCTTATTCCTATCTTCTGAAAGGCAGATCTGTTAACTAGTTTCTAAGGTGACTAACTACTATCGCCGATGATTTTCCTGATTGCAGTAGACTGGATAATGCGACAAACAGCGGTCAATGAGGAAACAGGCATAAAATGGACTCACACAAAAAACATGGAGGATCTTGACTTCGCTGATGATATATGTCTGACTTCCCACAAACTGGAAGACATGCAAGCGAAAAGCAACAAGTTAACAGAAGAAGCATCCAGAGGAGATAGGACTTCAGGTGAACATAGAGAAAACAGAAGTGATGAAAATTTCTGGGCAACACCATCAACAGCAACGACAACAACAACAACAGACAACAATCGACATAAATGGGAGGAACCTGAAAGAAACAACCTCTTTTGCCTACCCTACCTGGGAAGCATCGTTTCAACTACAGGCTGACGGAACTGACGAGGATATCAAAGAAAGAATCGGAAAAGCAAGACAAGCTTTCACTACTCTCAAGTCTGTGTGGAGGTCAACAGCACTCAGCATCAAAAATAAGATCTGGATTTTCACCTCCAATGTGAAGTCAGTACTACTATACGGATCAGAGACTTGCACTGCGCGTCATGAAGAGCATCTCAAACAAACTACAGACCTTCATCATCAGTTGTCTTCGTTCATTACTCAAGATCAGATGGCCAGCAGAAAAGATCAGCAACAGGGATCTCTGGCAATGAGCGAACCAACCTAGCAGGAACCAATTGTGAAACAAATAGGCAGGAAGAAATGGAGATGGATTGGCTGGCCATACTCTAAGGAAACCATCAAGTGACATCACTAGACAAGCCATTGCTCGAGTGGAACCCGAAAGGGAAGCGGCGGCGAGTTGGTCATCAGTGCAAGGGTGACTTGGAGGAGATCATGTGAAGAGGAGATGAAAACGTGTGGGTGGCAGACATGGAGCCAGGTGACGAATCTAGCAGAGAACAGAACGCAATGGAGACGCATGGCTGAAGCCCTATGTTCCTGTAGGAATTAAAGGATACAATAATATATAATAATATAAGGTGACAAAAATACACCTATGGTATAACAAAAATATTTTATCCAATATTCTTGTCATAAATGTGAATTAATATTTACGTAAAAATATAATTAAACCATAATAATATTAATAGAGTAATATATTAGTGTCTTGTGCAATAAAAGAGAATTATTTAGTTAAAAGTTGCTATCGGTTGCCAATGACGATACGTATATATATATATCTCCTGGGAATCGTCTGCTAATATATAATTGTCAGCATATCTCTTTCTGTCCCACACCCTGTGTCTCTGCCTACGCCAATTATCTCACTGATATGACTGTTTCAACCCCCAGTTCTTTTTCTTTCTCTCCCTGTCGACTGCTTCCCCTTCTCCTTGGTTTTTTTTCTCCCAAGCACTGACAATACTGTGTCAAAGTGTTCAGCCTTTAGGCATAACAATTGAGAGCTATTCATATTTCTGTCTACTGAGTTTTATCTAAAAACAGTCACGTCAGATTTCTAGGCAAATATGCCATAAATACTAATACTAATACTACTAATCATCATAATAATAGTGATAAAAGTCAGAGATTTAACCAGCTTTGTTGACAATACTCACTGAGAAAATGTAAAAATAGTCAAGGGTCTCAGTATATATTATGTAGCATATATATATCCTGGAGGTAATCTGGGATGTATTTTTCTTATAGAAATATGATTGTGTGTTACGCAATTAGTGCGTTTTGTAAAATCTATCTCGCTATCTATCTCACCATCTGTTTCTGTGTAGCAGGTAAAACGGAAATAGGCCTACAAAATGATAATAAGGAACGTTGTGTAAGCCTTAATTCATGCCATCAAAATAAGAAACACGTAAAAATCGCATACACACACAAACATAAAAGGGTAATAATTTAAAAGGCGTAGTTGTTGTCATTGATTAAATAAACTAGAGCGCATTCAGTGGTTGTTGACTGGTTTCTGTCGGCTTCAGTACAAACAAGAATAAGTCAGGCGGTTGTTTAAGACAGCATACGGAAAGTTTGCTCTACACACAGATTGTATGAGCAGTTGAATTTTCTTGGAAAGGGATTGTTTGAAGTAAAAAGTGCCCAAAGAAGTTTAAAAGACGATACAGAATAATTTATGTTAATGATAAGAAACGTTAATACTGTCTCGAAGAAGCCTACATTCATTCAACTAACCTTTGAACGATATGAAGAACAAGGGGTCGAAAATTACCCTTACTACAATTTATCCGGAATCTAGACTTGCTCCTGTCTATAACAGTGGTCATTCTCTTTGTCAATGGGAAATCAACAAGTACCTGTCAGAAGTTACCACAACATGTGCTATGACTATAAAAACACTCGCCTTATTTCCCATCTGATTGTGTTTGATTAATAACACTCATATTATTATTTCTAAATGTACATTATCACATTTTGATTTTTATTCAGATATCTAGTCAATTCCACACATTGTATGCAAATGAAGGAAAATGTTGTGTGAGTAACTTGATATGATTATGAGTGGCAATAGTTTGTGCTCGAAACTTGTGGTCATCAGTTAATATTACTGTGTGATTTATCAAAATAAAATCTTATCTATAATGGAGTTATACTCTACCACAGTGCACAAGTTTTATTAATTATTTAATTTTTTATTTTGATTACAGCTAGATGCCACACTGTATTTTCAGTACAAGTATGGAATTTTCAGCATGGATATCGGTAGCCCGAATTTTGCAGGCCGACCATAGATATCGGATGTGCGTCGGCAGGAGATCGAACCTCGGACCATGTGCATGGTCGACGAGATTCCTAACCACTGCGCCACCGATGAAGTTATACTTATATACCGAATATCCGTCCTGCTTTTACGGTCCTATCTGGCTTGAACGTCCTCATCTGTGATGGAAACTTAAATGGATATAAAAACATGAATTTTGGATACTTTGTTGGAGTTTAACTCCGTAAATCACATAGCGGTACAGTATGATGCTACTTACTGATAACTTTTATAGCACAATCATACAATAATTGGTAATGTTAAATTAATAGAATGTTAGAAATAGTACAAGACTTACATTCGGTGCAGCCAAATCATCCAGTTGTATATTGTCTGTGTACGTATCACTGACTAAAAAAGATCCATTTTCTAATTGCAGGGATAATGATGAATGTGTGGGATTTAAATGACTACCTGAAGAGGAGAAGAGAAAATAAGGAAATAAAAGTTTTACGATTAATTAGATACACTACTGACAGCAGTGATGATTTAAGTAGTTTATTGTTACTTTTATATATTATGTGTTCATTGGTTGCTTACTGTAGATTAACCGGTGTTACGGATCTGATCTTTAGTGGCGCTTTGGAACTGTCGCTAACTGCACACCTTTTAAATTCCTATTAGATATTTGGAGGCAATCTCAATGCGTAACTGAAACCTTGAAAAAGGTGGTTTCATCTGGAATGAAGAATTAATTCTGACTACTAAATAACTGTTAACAGAACGCACAGAATTACATAGGTCACTTGAAGTCTTTGAGAATTTAGTTATATTGTAGGTTAACATGCATAAACCTTCAGTCAACGAATCTTGTAGAATATTTGCTAGCTACTGGTGTAGACCAGATTCGATTCCTGACTGGCGCACTTCAAATGACCTAGATTCGCTGGTAGTAAGTCAGTTGCTGAGTGAAGGTTGAATCTGAGGCTAGCGACAACAATTCGCGGAACAGTTGCTGATACTTTGAAGTCTAAAGGCTGAGTCCTTATATTTCAGTCGGAACTCAAAGAGATGAAAAATGAATCTTGATTTTGGGTCTTGGTTCACCTACCTTAGCTAAGCAAGCTTTCAAACATTAAGAAGATTGTTGTATTCCTGTAGGAACTGTGATAGTGAAGCAGCCGAAATTCGATTTTTTATCAGATATGATAAAAGAAATGTAAGTGGACTAGACGCAAGGCGCTTAAATGGAACCCGAATGGGAAGCAATCAGCATCCAAGTATAACATGGTGTAGATCATGTAATGTGGCAATACATATCTTGATGAATAACCTTCAGTTCTTCGATTATCCCAATAATTCAAGTACAGTTATGCATCCCTCTACTTTCTGTAAGTTGTAGCATGGCTATCAAGACCAATTGTTCCACACTTTCATTTTCATTGCATAACACTCATCAAGCAGTAGTCGATATCTGTCTTCAGAGTCACTTAGTTGGTCTATAAAACAAATGACATCATTTAAAGAATCACTGGAAAAATAACTGGGGGTACTGAACTGCTGTTTTGCACTAGTTTTGGTCTCCTCATCAGTACGCATCCACCGAAGCTCGAACTCAGGAACTTCAGGCCACAATGTGAGCCACTGGAACGCTTTGTCATTAAAATCCAACTTCAGCTAATTAACTCAACTAATTTTAATGGCTGTCCGTACTCCATGCTGGGTTTCCAGTGGTTCTCCGACTGATATCAACTCATGTAAACAATCAAATCCCTGCAATGCGACACTCGATAAATGAGGATCAATATATTGTTCATTTAAATGTAGTTTTAATTATTGCATTTATTGATTCGACCGCAATTTTCAGCCTATTTTAACGTAACAGCTCATAGTACAGGCTTGAAGTAATCACTCCAAGTTATTCAGCAGGTATGATCAAAGCGTGCTCACCAGGAGCCGACGTCTTAAGAGAGGCTGAATATTTCAGACGAATCTATCAACGTGACCCTCACAAGTGAATCAAAACAGGCAATAACTGACATCCGCTGTACAAGATATCAGTCTTGTAGATATCACTTTGGCATGTAAAGCAGTGACTACTGGCAGAATTTGGAATTATGGGTTGGCCATCAAATTGGGTCTCAGTGGCTTATTGGTCTATGAGCTCACTAGATCCCCTGTGATAGGTACGCTGTGCTGAAGAGTCCCAAACTTGGCTGATGAAATAGCTGTTCAGTGATCCTAAGTTTTCGAATGGTTGGTGCTCTAACTGATGTCAGCTCATGATAAAGTCCTCTAACCAATGGCTTCTGAGCTGGAGTCTCACCATCATCACTAAGCACTGGGGAATGCAGGTGCCTCTAGCTGATGATGAAACCCAATGAAGATGAAATGCGCATCCTGGTGGATTCCATTGATAATCATCATGCAGCAAATCACTTCGAGGATTTACCCACTTCATTGCAGTGCTTTACTTTCTTATTCAAGTCACGTAAAGAAGCAATGAATAACATCACTTCCCAACTTTATCCATTTGTTATGGTATATTATATACTAGGGGGAAAATTGTTTACGAGATAAAGGGAACAGAAAGTAACTTCTTGAATAGTTTAAATCAATCCCAATTTTTGCTATCAATCAACACAGAAACAAAACCGGAACAACAATCCGTAACAAAAGAAACCAAATAAATTACAATAAATGTAGGACAAGATTGGAAAACTACGCCATCCCATTTCGTTTCGTTCCCTTAGTATGAACACTACAAAACGTAAATTGGTTGACGTTAGGCTGCATAGGGTAAGAGGAAAAGCAATCAGATTCTTTTCCCTACAAAAATGTTTATCAAATCATTCAATGTATAGCTCCTTTTTTCTGTCTTTAATGTCGTTTGTTATAAAGTTACAAAGCGAACAACCACAAAGGAAAATTAGAAACTCAAGTTTATAGAAAATCAACTCACACAGATCAAATACTCAATTACAATAACAGTTACAAAATCCAATAACACACAGAAAAAGTTGCATAAAACATTATACACGAGAGTCAGGAGGCATAGGAAAACTTCTACTTTGAAGATGTCTTCTAAAAGAATGGATATAAATGGAACTTCATCAAAAGACAACTATCCTCAAAACAACCTACCAAATCAAAGGCCCGCCTCCCTAAGGGAGGCACAAAGAAAATCACCCAGCCATATATAAAGGAGATCTCAGAAATCACTGCAAGGCTCTTCAAACGTGTAGGAATTGACGTCGCACACAAACTAACGAAATCACTTCACTTAGCTGGCTCTGCGTTAACCAAAAGACTCAACAGCGAAAGAAGATAAAACCAACATCATCCACGAAATAAGTTGCGACGACTGCGAAAATACTACATTGGTCAAAGTGGACGCCCCTACTCTTCGTCTTAATATCCATAAACACAAACTAGCTATCAAAAGACATGATATCCGCTCCCTCATATCACTCACTGCATACAGACAACCACGGACATCAATTCGACTGGGAAAACGTTCACATATTAGACAGAGGAGAAAGTAACAAGAATGCTAGAAAACTTTTAGAAGCCTCGTATTCCAATGAATGGTCAACTGATAAACACATTGACATAGACAACATTTAACAATCGATAAGGAGGATCTCATGCACGAAAAGTTAAACTTTAGGTCAAGGGAACAATCAGTACCAATACAAGTAGCAGGCTAGAGGGTGTGAAAAGACACAAAAACAATCAATGACGTTCAAGGTCACCACCAGAAGAGATGACGGAAAAACTCGTAGAGAAATCTAAAAGCTCACTTCAAATTGCAGTGTGCTCTGAAGATGTTGCCTAGTAGGACAATGAGAGTTTCGCAGATAAACCATCCAGCTCAGAGAACGCAACTGCATCAGGAATAGTCTCAAGATTAGAAACTTTCATTTACGTTTAACTTTTAGAGTACAATGATAAAATTGTCAAGTATTGGTTTTGTAGGGATTTTTGTTTGATTGCATGGAGGATTTCATCATGAGCTGACATCAGTAAGAGAACCACTGGAAAACCTAGGAGTACTGGACAGCTGTTTCGTCCTATTCTGAGACTCGTCATCAGCCCGCACTCATCAATGTCGGAATCTAGGATCATTCGGTTTCAGGGCAAGCTCATTAGCCATTCAGTCACAGGAACCTGACTTAATGGTTCATTTATGATAAATTTTATTACCAGATCTAGTTTTCCGTGGTTTTCAAGGGTCTTCTAACTGATATCAATTCGTGATCAGGCTTGAAACTAACTTTTAATCAAATTCAAAATTTGCAAATTAGTTATCCATGTCACAGTGTATACAAGTTCTAGTTCCTTTAGAAACTAAATTATTAAGATCACTACAATATGTGATTTGATTGGTAGCATAAAAGGCAACCGAGACTGATTACGATGAGTAGTTTGAGATTACTATGTTATGGTATCAAGCAGGTCTCATACTGTAGTGATCTGGATCATTTGGTTTTCAAAAAGAAACTACAATGAAAATGTCATTCCACGAACTGTATATACCTTGTAAAGTGTCAACTTAATTTATAGTAATACTGTAACAGCAGAAGGCATGACATGGAAGCCAAGGTATATTTTCAAGTGATCAAACCGCTATTTAGATATCCATACAGTTTATATTCTTTAACCAATCACTGAGCGTTTGATTTGGGCTTACTCTATTGCTAATGTTATATTGAACTGTGGGAATATGTGAGAATAATATTCCGTTGGAACACATTGTCTGTATCACACCACTACCATACTACTTCTATCCAGGACACCTAGATAGTTCGAACTGGCTTGGCTCTTTGAGCTGGTAAGCTCTGACACCCAAATGAGTAGAATAGCTGTCCGATTTTCAGATCCAAGCATTTTGACTGGCTAGCTCATAAGAAGTACTGATTGTTTATATGAAAGGTATACAACTCCTCTTACCAGTTAGCCAGTAGTCTGTTCTTCTATGCAAATTAAGTTTCAACTTTGTTTTATTCAAGATTTAATTTGAAGAGAGTAAAAAGTCCTTTTAATGTGGTTCCTTATTAGTTTGTTTATTAGATGTATCACACATAGTGTGAAACAGTATTATTTACTAGATGAGAATGTTTCGAACACAATCTAGTATTGTGCGTCGGTGGTACAGCGGTTGGGACTCTTGCTGACCATGCGCATGGTCCGGGGTTCGATACTCTGCTGACACACACCTGATATCAATGGTCGGTTTGCAAAATTTGGGCTACCGGTATCACATGCTAAAAATTAAATACTTGTACCAAAATTATCGTGTGTAGTCAAGCTATAATCAAAAAAGAAAAAAGGAAAATAATTGTTGATTATCATTTAATCAATAATAATCACACGACTTTGAAACTTGAGTTTTATGGTTTTCTTTGTCTTCTCCTATTTGTCGTCGTTGGAGTAGTAGAACTTTCCAGATATCCGGGTGGACAAGTGTTGAA